GCATTCGACCTCGAATTTGTGATAAACTGGCTAATGAAGGTTCGAATTCGACCTTTAAGTGAGAATGTTGAGGTTCGTACCCAACCTCAAATTGAGATGAACGAAGGTTCAGACTTGACCTTAGGTGAGAATATTGAGGTTCGTACTCGACCTCGGATTTATGTGTTTGAGGTTCGTGCTCGACCTCAAATTGGGATAAACGATGGAGGTTCGGATTCGACCTTTAAGTGAAAATATTGAGGTTATGAAGGTTCGAATTCGACCTTTGAGTAAGAGTACCGGGGTTCGTGCTCGACCTCGGGTTTAAGATTCGTATTCGACATTTAAGGACAGTACCGGGGTTCGTGCTCGACCTCAAGTTTACGTGAATGATTTGATTAAGATTCGTATTCAACCTTTAACGAGAGTACCGGGGTTCGTGCTCGACCTCGGGGTTTACGTGAATGATTTGATTAAGGTTCGTATTCAACCCTTAACGAGAGTACCGGGGTTCGACCTCGACCTCAGATATTAATATTAAGGTTCGTATGCGACTTAAATAGAGTTTGGTGGACTTTTATAAGGTTTAAATTCTTCGGAATAGGCATATTAAGGTTCGTATTAGACCTTAGAATAGAGTTAGGTAAGCCTTCACGAGGTTCATTTTCGACCTCGGGTAAGAATGTTTAAGGTTGACCTCAAAATTTTAACGAGGTTCGTTCCTCGGGTAAGAGTATTTAAGGTTTGTACTCGACCTTAGAATTTTAACGAGGTTCATTCTCGATCTCGGGTAAGAGTGTTTAAGGTTCGTACTCGACCTCAGAATTTTAACGAGGTTCGTTCTCGACCTCGGGTAGGAATGTTTAAGGTTCGTATGAGGTTCGTGCTCGACCTCAAATTGGGATAAACGATGGAGGTTCGGATTCGACCTTTAAGTGAAAATATTGAGGTTATGAAGGTTCGAATTCGACCTTTGAGTAAGAGTACCGGGGTTCGTGCTCGACCTCGGGTTTAAGATTCGTATTCGACATTTAAGGACAGTACCGGGGTTCGTGCTCGACCTCAAGTTTACGTGAATGATTTGATTAAGATTCGTATTCAACCTTTAACGAGAGTACCGGGGTTCGTGCTCGACCTCGGGGTTTACGTGAATGATTTGATTAAGGTTCGTATTCAACCCTTAACGAGAGTACCGGGGTTCGACCTCGACCTCAGATATTAATATTAAGGTTCGTATGCGACTTAAATAGAGTTTGGTGGACTTTTATAAGGTTTAAATTCTTCGGAATAGGCATATTAAGGTTCGTATTAGACCTTAGAATAGAGTTAGGTAAGCCTTCACGAGGTTCATTTTCGACCTCGGGTAAGAATGTTTAAGGTTGACCTCAAAATTTTAACGAGGTTCGTTCCTCGGGTAAGAGTATTTAAGGTTTGTACTCGACCTTAGAATTTTAACGAGGTTCATTCTCGATCTCGGGTAAGAATGTTTAAGGTTCGTACTCGACCTCAGAATTTTAACGAGGTTCGTTCTCGACCTCGGGTAAGAATGTTTAAGGTTCGTACTCGACCTCAGAATTTTAACGAGGTTCATTCTCGACCTCGGGTAAGAGTGTTTAAGGTTCGTACTCGGCCTCATAATTTTAAGGAGGTTCATTCTCAACCTCGGATAGGAATGTTTAAGGTTTGTACTCGACCTCAGAATTTTAACGAGGTTCGTTCTCGACCTCGGGTAAGAATGTTTAAGGATTCTACGAGTTGACTCGCGAGTTTGACAACCATGGTAATAATAATGAATACATTAATAGGGCTGCTTTGTGATAATGGATACACTAAAACTTGACGGTTGGCTAAGAAAGGGTTATGGTTAAGTACATTGTACATATATGCATCACAAAGGTGGAAATCAAATTCAAGCAATGTAAAGGCCATAATACATTCTGTAGTCAGCCATTACAGTCAGCCTCTCACTACGTTTAGCAGAAAACTGAAGTCAATTCAAGTGTCATAAACATGTCGTGGGCAAAGACCCTGCTCAAATCCCCATTCAACAAGTCAAGTAACTTTAAAGGCTACATTACATTAATACTAGAAATATAAGGATTTCTTCCTACCGAAGATGGGGACACATCATGTCCACCAATAAATATCCATAATTGTTCAAGTTCTGTTATCGATATTCATCTGATAGAAAAAGTAAAAAAAAAAAAAAAAACTTCAAAGGGACATGAGAAATGATAAAGAGTCTGTTCAGTTATATAATAATAATAGATATCTAGTTTGTATCCATGCCGTCTCCAACTTGGCTGCAGATAGGACTGACAGCAGAGAAAGACCTCTCGAAAGGAGAAGGATGGAATTGAGCATCCCGTCTACGCTTAAAACCACAGCCATCAGAGGGTGAAGTCTCGGCATCAAGCTTTCTGCGAACACCTCTCACCGCTTGTTCCTCTGCTGGAGTAAGGGGGAAAATTTGACCACTTGCTAGGCAAAGTGAGCTATGGTTATCATACAGAATTCTCTGGTTACAGTTTTTATCACAGATGTGAGTCAGCCCTGTTAGCTTGCAGCGATACATGTTCCCACAAACATGTTCATTTTCGCATTTCCAGTTGCATCTGTGACCGGGAATTGGACCATCTTGGCCTAAAATACTTGACAGATAAATAACATTTGAAGGAGCTGCAACCATAGATTTGCCATATACCTCCATTTCTTCAGTCCAAACAGAAACTTCTAAGATCCCAATCTAATACTCTCCAACTTCAAGGCCTTGCCTGAATTTTCTGCAGGGCCCATCACAACAATACACAATTCAGTCAAATTCAACAGAAACTGACTTGCTTGGCTCTAAAGATATGTAAGGACTTGCATCTTCTATAACCAATCAACCTTATCTCGTAAACTAGATTCCCTTAACCTTCCTTTTTTCCTTGTAAACAATAAACAAATTTCACACTCTGAAGTAACTACGCAGTCCCTTTCAGAGAAAGTTTCTAACATTTGTGCGATAAATAAGAAAACTACTTTCATCAATTAGGGTAGATCTCATTCCACTAATGCAACAGCCTATGAAAATAGGAAAACCATACACACAAACTTGACATGCTTTTGACAAGCATGGCCAAAAATGGAATTTAGCAGTTAAAAAAAGGAGCAAATTTGAAGGTATCTTATAAAAATTCCAATTCACAAAGGAAAAACAAATTACATATATTTAAAATTTTTCTGGGGCAATAAGACAAACCAGATTTGTAATAAGGCCAACCAAATGTCCCCATGTGGCAGATCTAATCCAAGGTCAATTAAGATTCCAAAAACAACATAAAACATGACAATTAACACAAACACCGTGAAAATTTAACAAGCCATCCACATTTAAACGTCTCATAACCCCTGATAGGAATGAATATGTTCATGATAGAGCTAAGAAACTAAAGGAGTGAGCATATATATATGCAGATACATCATTTTCAAGCACATAAAACCACCCCATCAACAATAGATTCCTATCACGTACAAATTCCACCCCCACCATTTTAGATTTAAAAAACCTGAATAGTAATCAATTAATTATTCTCATCAACTACATGAATTAAAAAAAACCGTTTTTACGGAAACTTGGTTAAATACAAAGAAGATGAGAAGTGGGCCCAACCCCAGATGAGAAAAGGAAGGAAAATGAACTTACAAGCTCCTCAACAAAGTACGTTGGCAGGAATTCTTCCTCAGTACCTACAAAAATGATGAAAGAGAAAGCAAAGAAAGAAAAACAAAAAATCAAAATAAAATATCTCTCTCTCTGCAGCACCTAAGCAAAGCTAGAAAAAAAATAAAATAAGCAAGGAAGAAGCACATTGGGTTTGGGTATTTATAGAAACCAGGCACTGGTCACTGTGCACTTGTGGGACACACACCAACGTAGGACAAAACTAACTACCGGAAATGCGCGTTAAATTTCGGGCAAATTGTGACCCAAATGCAAGCATATCACAATCGGGTCGGGTCTTGTCAGGTGGCAACATCGCCTTCAAATTTGGATTAAGTATCGGATCTAAGTCTAACGTTCTTTATCATCCCACCAATTATATTTCTATACAAAATATTTAATCAAAACCCAATAAATAATACATGTGACCCATATGCATCATTGAATATTTGTAGATTAATAATTTTGTCAGCTTGTAATAGATTTTTTTTAAAATTGTATTATTATTTAATAAGTTTCCATTAATTAACTAGAAATTATTTATTGTATTATTTTTAAAATAGTTATTATAAAATCTAATGTTAATGTTAATATTATATATATATATATGTATATATATATTAATCACTGTGTAAATTTTTTATAAGCTAACATTAACATAAATTATTTATCATAAATTTAAAATATAATTCATATATTTATATATATGTATATATAATTTATTATAAATTTTAATTATATAAATAAATCATTAACCTATGCATTCTAGTTATATGTAATTTTGATTTCCAATTTGTTTCCAATTAATTAAGTTTTCTATTTTTAAATTAAACAAAAGTATTTTGAAAATTAAAATAACACAATCTGAAACAAAGGTAAAAAAAAAAAAAAAAATCAAATCGCTTTTTGGAGTTTACGCACGTGGCCCGCAACGGTTATTTTCCGGTGTCGTGTTTCAAATGCACAACTCACTGAGTCACTCCACATTTTCCAAACGAAGCGTATTATAAGGAGAGATAAACAAGGTAATATCTCCAACACTTTCTTGTCGTATTACAACGCAACACGTGTAAGCACGTGCACTATTCTCGCCGTACACAGTACACTAGTACATGCGAACGCGCCACTGGGCCACACCTGGTCCACGCCGTACTATTGGGCTTCACGGACTCAAAGCCCATATAACAAACCGACCCGTCTATCTCAATCGGATCTTTCTTCTAGGGTTTCAGTTTCTTCCTTGAAACAACGGATTTTGTTCGGAGAATTTGGATCTTCGGTTTCAGTGAGGGCGAAGGATCATGGTGGGGTTCAGAAACAGATACATGGTGATGGAGGTTTTCTTGAACCCTAATAGAGACCCTGTGAAGGACGATTCTGTCATAATTACACAGTTTAATGTCTCCAAAGCTATAAGAGACAGCATTTTGGTGAATTTTGGGGAGTGTGGTTTGGCTTCTTCATTGGGATCATTCCAGGGTAGGTAGTAACATGTTTAATTTCATAATGTTTTTGTAAATTCTAATGCAATTTTTCTTATTATTTGATAATATTAACATTTTGTGTATCTATGTGTGTGTGTGTGTGCGTGCAGTTAAGTATGTGAATCCAATCACTAATGTTTGTATCATTAGGGCTTCAAGAGAGGATTATCAGAAAGTATGGTCTGCCATTACATTGCTCACAAATATTGGAAACTGCCCGGTGATGTTTAACTTGTTGGATTTGTCTGGTAAGTGAAATTTCAATTCTGTTTTATTGGTTCTTCCTTTAGTTTATATAATTACTATTTTTTTGAATTCCTTTGGAAAAATATTGGAATTGAAGAACATGAAAAGGAGTGTGTTAGATAATATATTGGGAAAAGAAAATTGATAGGTTCTGTCTGGTAATTTTGCATTTGTTGTTGTTATTCAGTTCGATCCTTGGATCCATGTGTACTAAAAAACAACTTGTTGGGAGATCAACCCTTCAGGAATTAGTCATGTGTTTACTAAAAAAATTATATTGGTCCAGAGTTCGATTTAGTATTTGGGATCGCCAAATCCTGTTATTCAGGACACTACTTTCGTCAGAAAACCTATGTTTATTATGCTGTCACTGAGTTTATCATTCAAGTGCAATAGAATGCCTTCATGTTTTGTAACTAGTAAGTTGGCGTTGGCCCCACCTTGCTATGGATTTATCATTATTATGAAGAAGATTATTATCGAGTAGCATAATAAAAAAACCACCAAATGAAAGTCAACTTATCAGGGTACCAATTGAGTCTGTAATAGTGAAAACAAGACATATGCCTTACAAGACTATAGAAAGGAAATTTAGATTTTGGATATGAGGATTCCTATAAAGAGGTGAGTGAAGCTATTGGAGGCAAATTGGTTCACAAGAATTTGATATATGCAATGGTTGGCATGACATGGACTGTATTTTGTAGTAATATGCAGTTATTGATTAGTTGTGCATTGCTTTTCTTTAATCATTGATGAATGACTATCATTTTGTATATTGATTTGATTTATAAAACATTATGTTTAGTATATGAATGAAACTCCAAAAATCTTTTTGATTTTGTTGATCATTTTGATTGCATCTAGCTATTGCCCATAAATGCATGATTTCCATCTATTCTTTCACTTGAAGATTTGATGTTGAACATACACATCCTGATATGAAATGTTACCTTTTGGTTCAGGAAGTATAAGGGCTTGTAAAAATGCTGCCTTGAAGTGTGAGGAATCAAAATTTGAGCAGTACAAACTCATTATTGGTGATCGATTCTCTGCTGATCATACTCAGCGCATGAATACCTATCTTGATAGGATCAAAGTTTTGGAGCACTGAATATTTTGCCTCCAAGGATTGTCTCATTGAGATTTCTCAGTTTTTTGCAATTAGTCTGTGTTCAATCTGAAGTTGCCTACAATTATAGGTTAAATTTAATATCTGTAATCATAATAGACGTGATAGCTATGCAAGTTCAGTGCACCCTCTTTTCACAGAAGATGGAGTCTTCTGTTTACATTGTGGTCTTACCAATTTTTCTGAACTTTAGCTGTGATAATACCTAGTGTATGGTATAAACTATAGAGTTACTACAGCTTTCAACCGTTAGAGAAGAGGCTTGTGAAAATGTGTAAATTTGCGCCTTTGTTTGGTTATATTATTACAAATTCATTGTAAATTATCAGACTATTTCTAAATTATAGTTGATATAATTACTGAGGGAAGCTTGTTTTTTTGGCCTGCATCTAGTTTTTACCATTCTTTCACTTCATTCTTTCAAAATGCATCATTGTAAACTGAGCGTTCTATTGTCAAAGCATTCAATGAGTCATGATCTCTTAAAATTGCGACTGTACCCTCTTGATAACCTCAACACAACTCATTTGAAATATTAGGGTCGATTCTTTAATTGTCTCACTTGGTTGTACTAGGTTGGTTTCTTTAATTGTGTCGGATCTTTAAAGGTATAGTTCACAAACTCAGCATGATTCACTTGATCGTACTAGAATCAGGTTTTTAGTCGTATCATTCCACTTTCTTTTTTTTGGTGTTGGTATCATTCCACTTTCAATGCTTAGTTGTGTTTCAATACAATTAATTAAAGCTTGAATCTTTAACATGTTCAAGATTTGCAAATTAGCTTCCAATAGAAACAAATAATTTAATAACATTTGAATTGAGTTGCAAAGCTCAAGTTACGATTGAAGAAAGAACTACTTTCATTAGCGACATTATGCAAAAAACAAGTTTCAATTTGGAATATAATTGGTACCGATTTACAGGGAAACTGAATCTGAAAGCTCTCATTTAAACAAAACAAAAAAAAAATGCTGAAATCTGACCCGTACACATAACTGACATCTTAGAGTTTCTAATATAGAACTGATTCGTAAAGCAGTTATTTTTCTACACATAACTGCCCCTAACTCTCAGTTCGTATCATTTTCCTTCTTTGAAGTATTGTAAAGTGAAATACAACTACATATTTCATCCCACAAACATCATAATAATAACACTATTAATTCACCAATAAATTGCTAGCATGTATAGGCTATTTAGCATACACTCCCTTTATCTCTTTATTATTAAACGTGACATCAAACTCAACACAGTTTTTTTCATGTAGAAGACGGATGATGCACTTGCGATCTCTTTTTTATTTCCCCCTAAACATAGTACCTGCAGAGCATAAAAAAGGCTTATGTATTTTTTTCTCATCATTTTCTCCTTTCCCAACCTTTCCCTCTCTATTTTCTTCACGTCTCTTTCTTTCTCTTCTCTACTCTATTTAGCTCAACATAATATACAACACACACAATTTCGCTTCAAACTCATTGATTTGATTGCGATTGCATTCACTTTTGTAAACCAGTCATACATCAACGGGACAAATGAAGTCTTGACAATAGACACTGCAATGAGAAAAGGGGAGGGGAATATAAACCAAAAACACAAACCCTGACCAAAATAGTTACAGTTATTTCATGTCTAATAAATTCCCATTTAATTCTTCGTGTAAGAAATGTTACATTTAAAACTACATACAACATACAAGAGTATTCAAGACATTACATTAAGAGGAAAATATTAATTACATATCAATCATGCACGACGTTTACTCAAACGCCATGAATTTGGCTTGTGATGTCCATCACAAAGTGGTTCTATTATATATGCTCTTGACACTTTCGATTGCTCATCTTTGTAGGACATGCCACTTTGAAGAATCTTGGAGCCAATTCAACGAGCCATTTATTCCTTAGTTGTCATCACAAGCTCATGGTTATTGACCCACTCTGGATGTCCCTGAAACAAAACTGAACTCGGATATATACAGGTTTCATGAGGGTCCTTTCTAGCTGCATGGAAAAAGAATCATGCAGTGATAGCTTCCCTGACTTTGGTTATGTTTTTACCAGCATTTGCAACATCTAATTTGTACTTGAATATCGGTACAGACGATTTAGAAAGCAATTTAATATAACTAAGTAATAATGCAAGGGCTATGGTCAACATAATAACTTCAACCATGACAAAAGGAAACCCAAAGTCAACATAATAATTTGTGCATAATAAATGTATCAAACCAAAAAATAAAAACAAAAACAATCAAACATAGAACAGAGGAAAAAAACGAAATCAAAGCAAATAAAGTATTTAGAAGACTAGATAGGTAAGTATCTTTCTTGTCCATGATGGTCAGAAGCTGTTTCCTGACATCTTGTGCTCTTCTCAAAAATCGGGATTGAATGAAGTTTCGGAAACGCCATGGCCCAGAAAATTTATTAGCTTTCCAAGACTCGTAAACAGCTACTGTGCATAATAAATGTATCAAACCAAAAAATAAAAACAAAAACAATCAAACATGATTTTAAAAGCTGCCCCATGGCAGAAATAATTGTTTGGGGGTGACGGTGGATCCATAAAATCAAAGGACAGTTTATCATTTATCCCCACAGCTTTCGTATTAAGAGTACCAAATTTATCCTTTGAATCTCTGTAGTTGTAGTTGAAAATCCAGCATCTGGACGTCATTCTCCTTCAGTTTTGCAGCGAATTCCTCGACATTCTCAGAGTTATGGCCCAGCTCAGCTCAGTGATGAACTCTGCAAGGACCTTGTTGCCAGTGCACACCTTGGACACCAATTTAAGAAATATTTATCGAAATAACAATTTTTCCAACTAACATTTTATACTGTTCAAATTTTAGAACGAGCCGTTCCAGATTAAAAAAGAACACATGACGAATGGATCAGAACGGGCCATTCTGGAATCAGAACGGGTCGTTCTGGAACGTGAACAACAAAAAGTGCTAGTTGGGGAAATAAATTTACACGGTTGCTATTTGAGTAAATATTTTTTAAAATAGTATTATTTCAGTAAAAAACTCCACCAAGGACACCTTGAATCAATCATCAGAATTATCTATTAAAATCCTAATTAAAAAAAAATATTAATAAAATATGATCAAGTTTCGGTCAGACACACACCGAAACACACATTCATAATAGAAAATAGAAAGTAAAAATTGAATAGAGAAAAGCTTTAACTTGTATATTACACATAACTATTCCCCCTTTTATTAATGAGTAGTAATACAAACATGTATTTATAGAGTATATTGACAGATGATACAAATATAAAATACTAACATGTTAAGGTACACAGATGATACTTAAAGACTATACCTTATATCATTAGATTATACTATCAAATTATATCATCAGACGATGCCATCAGATAATACATGCATAAACTAAACCTTTATACTATATATACAAGTATTATATATAACGATACATGGAGATTATACATTTAAATTACTATAATTAATAGTTCTAATTCCAAACAAGTAGTTAGGGGTGAGCAGCATCCCCATACCGACCCGTTACCGAAAGAACCAAAAAAATAAAAAGAAAAATGGGTGGGTTCAAACGATTTTTTGGTTTAAACGGGTTAAAAAAAATGGATTAAAATGGGTAATTTTGGTCGGGCTCGGTTTGAGTTTTTTGACTCATAAAAAACCAAACCCGACCGTGCAAACATAAAAGCCCAACGAAATTTCAAGCCCAAAATAATATGAATTGAGACCCAGTCCAAACTTAGTAACTTATTAACCTAATAACCTTTTCTTAATTCATTTGTTCTGAATCTGAAACCCTAGCGATGCACCGCTTTCCTTCCATCCCGAGAGCTCGAGAGTTTCGCTCTACTTCGTTTCACAGAATCGTTATCCTTCAATGGTTTAGTGAGTCCATGCGATTTCAAATTGCTTCACCGATAAGATGTAGCAAGTCGTGACCCCGTCTTAGTATCTCACTCAAAAACGAAAAGGTATTTTTTATTGAGCAAGAACATGTTTGATTGTTTGTTTCTAACTTTGTATCTTTAAATAATTTCACTTTTGATGTTGAATCGTGTTTCTGATTTATTTAATTTGAATGTTATTAGGTCGGGTAGAGCCATACCTTTTGAGAATAACACTACATTACGGTAAGTCGGTAATAGTTGAGGTGGCGAGAATCATGAAACATGATTAGAACCTTTTGAGCTTTTTTTTATTTTTGGTTTTTGATAATGAGTTTTGAAGCTAATCATATGTTTTTTGTCTTTTCTGCATAGACACAGAGGATAAGGAAGTGCTAATTCAATGAAACAGTCTCATAAACGAGCTATTAAAAAGTTAAGAAGAAAAGGTAATTATTTTTAGCATTTCATAAATTTAACTTTAAAAGAATATTTAATTATATTATCATTTTTTTTGTATATAGTGATTTTATATTTTGTGATCTAGCCTGTAGTGCAGTTATACTTGTTAACTATTTTGTGATTTAACTTATAGCATAATGTTCCCTTATTTTGCATGCTTAATTCCTATTTCATTTGATAGGACTATGATCCTTTGTTCTGCATGTTCTACTATTATTTCAGTTTTACTTATGTGTAGATGTTATTTTTTTTATATGTATATTGTCTAATAAGTTTAATCATTCCCTACTTCTCATGGAGTCTTTTTCATAAATTAATTTGATAAAAGTCATACGATTTTAACAGTAAATAAATAATTCACTATAACAATTTAATAAAAAAAATTATAGTTGGAAGTTATTGACCAAGACTTCTTCATTAAATTAGTGATGGAGCAGCCTTGTCAGAACCTGCCAGCTACGACTGATAATCTAATTCAAGCTACTGCTGAAACTAATAATCCCCCTCAAGCTCATACTACAGCTCCAACCGAAGTTGCAGGACTTAACTCAAGTCATCCTCTTCCATCAAAATCTAAGAAGAGGAAACCCAATGCTAATGGCCCACGAAAGACATCAATTGTGTGGGAACACTTTATAGTATTGCCTGAAACTGAAGTTAAAGAGCCCACACCAGCTTGTAAATACTGTAACCACAGGTATTTATGTGATCCCAAAATATATGGCACATCTAATATGCTCCACCATTTTACAAAATGTCAAAAATATGTTGGGTCCCTTTGTCACGATCCTAGTCAAACAGTGCTTACCTTTGGTCTTGGAAAGAATGGGGAAAAATCTAATTTAGTACCAGCTAGCCATAGGTTCAATGTTGAGGCTTGTAGGAAAGCTTTAGCTACCTTTGTCATTGTAGATGAACAACCATTTAAGGTAGTTGAAGGAGAAGGTTTTAAATATCTGTGCAAACAATTACAACCCCAATTTACTGTTGTTTCAAGGCATACAGTGGCTCGAGATTGCTTTCAACTATATTTAGATGAAAAATTAAGGTTGAAGGCATTCTTTAAGTCTAATTGTAGTAGGGTTGCTTTGACTAGTGATTGTTGGACCTCTATTCAAAATCTAAATTATTTAGCTCTCACTGCCCATTTTATAGATAATGAGTAGAAATACAAATAGAGAATCATAAGTTTCTCTTTAGTGGCAAACCATAAAGGGGAGACCATAGGAAAACAGATTGAGGAGGCCTTAAAGGAATGGGGTCTAAGAAATATATGCACAATCACACTTGATAATGCAACTGCAAATGATGTGGCTATTTCTTACTTGAAGTAAAGGTTTAAAAACATGGGTGGGTTAGTTCTTGATGGAGAGTTTTTCCACCTGCGATGTTGTGCTCACATTTTGAACTTAGTAGTAAATGATGGCTTAAGAGAGTTGATAGATTCAATTGCTAGCATCCGCAATGTAGTAAGGTTTGTGAGGTCTTCGCCTCAAAGGCAAGCCAAGTTTAAAGAATGCATTGATTTTGCTGGTATTTCATCTCGTAATCTAGTTTGCCTTGATGTTTCGACGAGATGGAATTCTACTTACATCATGTTAGAAGTAGCAGAAAAATTTCAGCTTACCTTTGAAAAGCTTGAGTTTGAGGACTCAAGTTATTTGGACTATTTTGGACTCGCTGGACCTCCTACTGCTGAACATTGGGATAAAGCAAGAGATTTTGTTAAATTTCTTAAAATATTTTATGAGGCCACCAAAACTTTTTCATCATCTTTACATGTGACCATACACATAACATTCCATCAATTAGCAACAATATCTTGTGAGATTGAAAAGGCTTGTATGGAGAATAATTATGATTTTTGAACTAGAGGATGGGAAATGAGAAGAAAATATAACAAGTATTGGGGCAATGCATTGAATACTAATCAATTGTTGTATTTTGGTGTCATCTTGGACCCTCGATATAAGTTTAAGTATGTGGAATGGTCCTTTAATGACATGTATAAGTATGACCATCAGTTTGCAAATAACCTCTCTACTTCTGTCAAACAAAATCTAACAAGGATGTATAATTGGTATGTTGCTGCCCATGAGCAACATCATAAACAAACACAGTCAGGTGCTGAACAATTTGGTAATTGTTCAACTGGAGGAATAACAAATCCTATTGAAATTCCTTGTCATATGGCTAGGAAATATGCCTTTAAGGCACATTTGAAAGAAAAAAGCTATCTTGACCAAAAAAATGAGCTTGAGACTTATTTGGCTGAGGCAAATGTTGATGCTGATGATAATTTTGAGTTACTTTTATGGTGGAAGCAAAGTTCATCTCGCCTCCCAATATTGTCAAATATGGAAAAAGATGTTTTTGCCACCCCTGTGTCAACAGTGGCATCTGAAAGCGTATTCAACACTGGTGGAAGAGTGTTAGATACCTTTAGAAGCTCCCTCAACCCAGAAATGGATCAGGCATTAATCTGCTGCCAAAATTGGTTGAGACCTTGTTTGTTGCAATTTAAAGAGGTTAATCTAGTTGAAGAATTAGAAAGCTCTGAAAATATTGTAATAGGTAACATTTATTCTTTTCCCACTATCATTTATAATATTTTTATTTTATTATTTGTTGTCATGTTCCTAAGAATTTCAAAAAGGAACTACTAGATCCCAAGGAGCTGGAGTTGTAGCATCAAGGGTTGGTATTGAAGATGGTGGAGTTGGATCATCATCTCAATCACAACCGGTGATTACTAGCTGAAAGTATATTCATTTATTTATTTTGTTATTTTCTTGCTTTTTTATTTTAGTTAAATATTTACTTACGTACTTGTTTGTTATTTTGTTTTTTTATATAGGTCCCTTGGCATTATTTTTTGCTTATTTTGGTCTGTATCCACTAAAGATATATGGAGTCATTACTGGTTTTTTGGTATAACAGTATTACTCAATTACATTTTTTTGGTAAGAAATTTTTTATTCTTTCATTTTCAAGATATGTACCATATTATATAATGACAACTTAATGTGTTAGCATATAATTGGCAGAGAATCATCATTTGGGTGGTATCATTGCACTTCTCAGAATGCATAATAGATCCTTCTAAATTGCTCATCTCAATTTGGTTAGTTTTCAAAAGTGTTTCCTTTCTAATTTATCACATTACTATATTGTTGTCTATTTATTAAATTTTTTTATTGAATTTTTTCTTGACCATTATCCTTTTGACATGTAGGAAACATGTCTTGCCAATTTGCATGATTACAACATTCTTGGATCTTATTAAGCTTTGTGTTTTCCCTGTCCCATTGGTTTACTATTCTGTTTGTACATGTCTTGCCAATTTGCATGATTACAACATTCTTGGATCTTATTAAGCTTTGTGCTTTTCCCTGTCCCATTGGTTTACTATTCTGGTATCAAAGCCTGATGGGGAAGTAGGAATTTATGGCTGGATCTAAGTTTACTTTTAATATTAAAATTATGATGTAAGGTTATTATGTTTTGGATCTATAA